TCAAGCGTTAACACTACAACTCTATCATTTAATACATATTCTTGCAAAACTTCATGAATTGTAAAATAAATAGTGTTAGCACTATGTTTTTCATATAATGGTTTAAAACCCATCAATTTTTTTTGTAAACCCCAACTATGTTCTAAGAAATGTTGTGACAGTTAAAAAATCTGTTTTTGATCTACAAACCCATATGTCTGATGTAAGTGCAATAGATATATTCCTAAAAATTTTAAATTCGTTTTTAAGTTTATTATTTATTTTGTTATAAAGTTTTTTGGTATATCTCTTCTACTTGTACTTCTACTAACAGGGGTATATGCTGGATAAAATGCAGTTTTAATCATATGAATAAAATAAGGATGTTCAGATAAACAAATGGGAGAGTCCGTAACAACTATGAATCTTGTTATTTCCTTTCGTGCAACATGTGCATTATATATCCATGTTGAGAGAGTTGAGAATTGTAGATTAAAATTACGTTGAGTTTGAATTTGCCTACCTGATTCGATTGAAGATGTACCAAACAACTGCATTATTTGGGGGTACTTCTTTTCCAAGTGTCGTTGCATCGTCGAAGTCCCCTTCTCAGCACCAAAAATGGTTCCACATAAATTACATACCCCACACGATTATTCCCCCTCCCTATTTGTCTTTGGCCATTTTGACTTAGTGAAGTGTCGTCACACATTGAACACGACCATTTTTTACAGTCGAGGGGGGGGGGGGGGGGGTTGGGCCATGCCCGTGCCCGTTAAGTTGCAGCTCGCTTGTGTTTAGGTGCACCTCGTCCCGACCGAATGTGGTTGTTGAATTGCAGTTGCTGCCTCTAGAGGAAAATGTGAAAATGGATCAAACTCTTCCATTTCTTCAGTGGATGGAACATAAAACTCATTTGGGGATGATCCTCCGAATGCATCATTTTGGGAATCTATTATGAATTTATGATAAAATAATAAATAATTAAAATGAAAAAAAATTAAATAATAATATGAATAAGAGATGATATTGAAAAATAGAAAGAATTGAATAATATAAATAAATAAATTATAAATATAAATTGAATGAGAATTTGATTAGAGATCTGGAGTAGAGAGTAGAGAGATTGAGTGGCGTGGAAAAATGAGAAATTTAGGGGATATTTATAGTGCAGCAGCCAACGGTTATTAAATGCAAATTTTTTTAATTTTATAAAATTTTCTTTTAACCCCTACAATTCCTGTCTATTTCAAAATTTACAGGAGGTTTTAGTAATTGTTCAGGGGACTAAAATAAATAAACCAAAAGGGTTTGGGCCCGGGCCTTGGAGGAGGGTCCAGTGGAGGGACTGAGCCCTCTTCCTTAGGCTTGGTCTGATTTTGGGACCAGGCTTGCTAGGACTGATCCTCTAAGGACCGGGTTTTTGGACCTAGTCCCAAATGCCCAACTCTATGTAAAACTAAAAGGAGATAGATTGAGAGAGAGAATATATAAATACATGTACACAAAAGGGTTTACGTTTATTTGTAGTCCTGTTTGTGGTTAAAATTAATTAATTAATTGGATTTGTGGGTTTTGATTGAGATTTTAATTTAGTTACTTGGGTTAATTAATTATACACAAATTTAGCCAATCAAAAAATAATTTCAAAACTTCTTGTGACCATTTTTGTGAATAATATTACCTAGGGTGTGTTTGGTTCAATGAATGTTGTATTACGAGAGAATGTTGTATTATTTTAAAGATAGATTACCAGAGAATCTTTAGAGAAATATGTTTGGTTGGTTGAAATAAATTGGTGGGTATGTTATAATAATATGTTTGGTTGGAAGGATGAATGAGTGGGTATGTTATGTAGATTACTAAGTTGCCCTCCTTTTTAAATAATAATAAAATATTCTTTTTATTATTCTTTTTAAAATTATTTCTTTTAACCCCCTATATTTGAAATTTTATAAAACACTCCAACCATATAAAACCTTAATCTGTCTCGAAATCACCCCCACCCACCCCAAGCCACTGTTGGCAGCCAACCACCACTACTGGAAGCTGCCGTAATGGTGCACAACCTGTCAGATCTGGCTGGTCATGCGCCGGTAAGGCCTAATCCGACCATGGATCGAAGATTCATTACCAAAAACGGCTAGATCTGGTCATTTCCAACCATGGATCACAAATCCATAGCCAGAAATGTCTTTACCAGCACACGACCGACAAGATCTCGCCGATCTTGCCTCGATATGATGAGTTTCGCCGGCAGCCAACGGTGGTGGCTAGCGACCGACGGTGGTCTTGCGTGGCTAGGGTTTAAACTTTTTGTGGTTTAGCTATATTTTCAAATGTAGGGGGTCTATGTAACTGTTATTTGGTAGATATAGGAGGGCAAATGTGTCCGAAATGATAAAAGATTAAGGGAAAAATAGGGTCAAAATTAGGATTACCCCGATAATGTTATATTAACACCCCTTGGGAAGGTAATCTGATTACCCTCAATATTACCCCCAATAGACACTATTTGCAATAAAAGAATACATAATATTTTATTACTTGACAACCAAACGAGGGAATCTTGAAAATTAAACAAAGGTTACAGGATTAATCTTATATCACCCCGAACCAAACGCAACCTTAGCATTATCATGTATGTATAAATCTTGATAACGTTATCGAACCGTACATGATTTCAGATTATGATTTAAGAGTTTTCGAGAAAGGAAAACGTTACGTTGATATTGGTAATAGCAATATATTTATAAAAATTCATCATATATACAAGTTTTACGTGTAATATTATAGGATTTGTAAAAATTACAATATTTGTGAAACAAGAAATAAGGGTATTTACCCTTTCAATATCCTCATTGGGTGTTTTATCCTTTCAATTCCTTTGTTGGGTACAAGCAACATCGGATTTGATGTGTATACCAAAAGAGTTTAGATGAAAGTTTTAACTAGTTTTAGGTTATCTTAAAATATGAATCATATCCAACAATTGATTGATAATGAGTTATAAAAATATGAAGTGTTACTTATCAAAATTATATTCATAACATTTTCACAAGAAATGGTACCATAGATACGTATTAGTAAAATATTTCCAAAAAAGTGTTACTGTCTAATGTTACTGTAGGTTTTTTTTTTTTTTTTTTTTTTTTTTTTTTTTTTTGTAATGGGTGAAGCAAAGAGCAAAATTAAAGAGAAAGAGGAAAACGACAACCCGTTAAAGCATGTCGGAATCCTCAAAGGTACCTATCATGCCTTCCTACCATTTTCAGCCGATCCTCATTTGCCACTTGCACTTAATTTTCAACTTTTTATCTTGGGTTTCAATTTTTTATCTTGGGTTTCAATCAATTTCAAAGCAGGAGATTGAGATTCACCAGCAAGCAAGTCTGAGTTTTGTTTCAAATTAAACAGAAAAAGAATTGGGTGTTTTTAAACTAATAATATTTCCTCCCTAATTAGTTTTTCAAATTTCATCCCCAAAAATGCATTTTTCACAATTGAGGACGAAATCATATTTCATCCCCAATAACTTTCCAAATTTTGTACAATTAGAGATAAAAAATTTCATCCCAGAAAAAAATAGGTTTTTAACTACAAAATTTTTCATCCAAAAATAATAAATTTCGTCCCAAAATGATTTCCCTCCATATTATTTCATCATTCCCACCTAATAACATTGTTGGCAGGGTTTCCAAATAGAGTGCTAAGCATTTTTTGACGAAATTACAATTTCGTCCCCTAAATTGACAATGTTGGGACGAAACCAAATTTGTACCTAAATTAAAAATTTGTTGTAGTTGCAAATTTCATCCCTAAAAATGCATTTTTCACAATCTAGAACAAAATCATATTTCGTCCCTAATAAGTTTTCCAAATTTTGTACAATTAAAGACAAAAACATTTCGTCCCAAAAAAAGGTTTTTAGCTACAAAATTTATCGTCCAAAAATAATAAATTTTGTCCCTAAAAATGTATTTTTACAATCGAGGACAAAATCACATTTCGTCCCTAATAAGTTTTTCAAACTTTGTACAATTAGAGACAAAAAATTTCGTCCCAGAAAAAGAAGGTTTTTAGCTACAAAATTTTTCTTAAATAAATAATAAATTTTGTCCCAGGATGATTTCCCTCCATATTATTTCATCCTTCTCTCCAAATGGCATTGTTGGCACAAAGTGAAAATTCAGTATTAAGCATTTTGTGATGAAATTACAACTTTGTCCCCTAAAATGACCATTTTGAGACGAAACTGAATACGTCTCTAAATTAAAAATTTGTTGTAGTGACAAAAATATTTGAAAAGATACCAAACCCGCAATCCACCTCAAAATTTCAAAGAACCGCATCATTTAAACTAAAACAACATTGTCAACTCTACAAATAAAGAAAAAATAGTAATTTTCAAAACTTAAAATTAAGTATCTTGATATTTAAACCCCCAAAGTGTTTGGCTGAAATTAAGTAATCACTTCTGACAGTAGGAGGCAAAGATTAGCCAAAGGATGCAGTTTTAGTGACAAAATCTTACGAGCAAATCTAGACCATAATCTATATTTCTCATAAGTAAAACAAATCACAAGAGAAAAGTTTTCAAGTTGAACACTCTATCGCCAATAGAAGATCAATATGTGCACCATTGATGAAATCCAAACAATTTTAGATCTAAATTCTATTTGTTCTTTATATTCTCTTACACAAATTTAATAGACCACATATAAACACACTAAATAAATAAAGCAAAAAAGATTCATAAGTTCTAGTACAAAAGAGGGGGAAAAAAAGGAAGATAAGGTTATAGAAGAAATTGATGAATACATATTAAAAAATAATAATAATAAGATGACAAATACGTAAAAGTCCAGAAAGTACCGTATGGAAGTGCTTTCTATAGGTGTCCTGAAAGACATTGGAAACAAGGACCCGACAAAAAAGGAGTTGTCCCAAATGATAAGAGGAGAAAAATCATACGACGAATCAGAAAAAGGTCACAATTAAAACCTAAAACCTATTGTAACTTACCATGTATTCCTTTGGAGCGACCAATTACAGAGTTCCTTTACACATTTCAAGGCTCTCATCAGCATTCGTACGCAGCTACACCGACCATCTGGACCTAGATTGCAATGGTAGTCATGGTGAGTCTCATTAATGAACCCTGCAAAGAAAATTTCATTAGCACACTACTTCAACTGATATTAGCTACATGTCTGAAATTCAAGAAACGCCAATAAAATTGACTTAAAGAGTAGTAAATAAATCCTTCAATGAAATTGTCTCCTGGACATCAGTAATTACAACAAGAATGTATGATAAGCATACAACATTATCCTCTATTTAAACTCGAGTAAACAACTAAGCTATTGCACCCACTTCATGGGTGGCAAGTCAAACGCCCAAACCGAAGTTTCGCTGAGGAAAAACATTTTAGCTACATGATATATGTTCAGCAAACACTGAATGCCATTGACTTAAGGAATAACAGATAAACCCTTGAGAGTAGTTACTATTTGGACATCAGGAATTGCAACACTAATGTAGGACAAGTATACATTCTTTTCCATCCAAAACAACCCCATTTCATCCATTTACCTATGGTTGAACATGGTAACAGTATAACCATAATTTGGTTTCCCTTAGCCATCAATAATCACCTTTTCCTCATTTTCTTCCCCGCTGCAGATAATAATATCCACTTATTATGAATCTTGCAAATTCTGGAACTAGTGATTCCAAGATCTTGTAGGAACTGCCAATTTAATTTACTATTCATCCTAAACAGGTCACTAACAATGACAATGTATACAACTAGAGGAAATTAGACATTCTTAGGAGTAATAGTTGAAAAAATGCACCTGAACAATACATTTGCTGAATCGAGAAAGTGTCCACCAAGAAATACTCCGTATTAGAGGAAACTTATCATCTAAAAGTGGGATAAGAAACGCCAATCTGCAAACATCAAAATTGTATTGCTTTTGATGAACTCAACATTCTGAGTCAGCGAATGAGTAGCCAGACCCAGAAAATAAAAATTCTTCATTTTGTGGGACAATTTGTGCACAAAGGTAATACTCACTACTCATTAGAGGGTGGAGAGAAACTAAGAAAATATGAATAATTTATAATTAGCAGCGCAACATGTATTATAATTCAAATATGCAGATTAAATCATGAGTAAATGGAGAAATAACACCCATGGAAAGAGACACAAGATTTTACATAAAGGCTTCTTCAAGAAGAATTATGGATTAAAAAGACGAAAATATTAAGGAATGCTGCAGAAGCAATATCAAAAAGGGAATATAAATGTAACAAATTGGTATTAAGCATAGCTCTAATTTTCTTTAAAAAAAAATGATTTAAGCATTGTATTCACACCAATTACATACAAGCCATTTGCAATCAGATTATAAAATCAAGATCATCCAACAAAAGAGAATAAAAATAATGATGTCACAAGAATTCAACAAGTACTGACACCAGCTCTTGGCATATTTACACTGCATCATTATGAAATGTTTTCAAAAATAGTATTGCACACTAGAATAGCATTTTCATATTCCCACCAACATCTTATAGTATATAACATAGAAACCTAGATACATACATGATTAACAAAGAATTGCCTTGATGTTTAATTTCCACGTGTGCCAACATAATGAGTATTAAACTACTAGTCAAGACATTCAGATTTATTTTTGTAAAGCAGAGGATTACCAAAATTTACAAGCTTCAAGAGCCACTTCATCATCAGCATCCTTGTTGACTTGTAGCATGTATTCAATCACATTCCTTAGATGTGGCTGAAACAGTGCACGTCATCATCAATAACAAAAGGAGAAGGGTGACATACATAGAAAAAGACAACAAACAATACAAAATAATGATATAGAAACTAAGAAATCATAATAAAGGGTCTATTCAAACCCTTCAACCAGACTAGATTACAAGAGATGAAATAAAAGTGCATAACATCCTGCCAAAATAAGACCAAAAAGAAATATATGTAATAAAAAAGAAAACATGTGATACTAAAATAAAACAAGCAAGAAACTCACCTCCAAGAAAGATGGACAGACTTCAATTAGCTGAACATATGTTGCACAAACCTATTAAGTTGAAATAGACAACAAACATATGAGATCGCAGCCAAGCTTATAAACAACTTAAATTTCAATAATCACTATATCATAAAACGATAAGATTATAGTCTATTTACAACCTCACTTCAAGAACCATAATGTTATTGGTCAAGATCAGCAAATGTCTAGTTCGCTTTGTTGGAGTTGTCAACTACTTCAACATTAATGGGTTAAATAGATGCATTCGGGGGTCTTGCTGCCCGGTCAATGGGCGGGGCCCTGCTCCCCGGTGAGTGGCTGGGGGCAGTTTGGGCCTTTTCCATGTATAACTGCTGTATGATTTTTTTAAGTCATTAATTCCTTGTTGGGTTTGGACTTAGGAATATGAATCCTTGTAAAACTAGGTTTTGTCACTTTAAACCTAGTATATAAACATATTTTTCTCTTGTTATGAGGGTGATAGCAATCATAGGGCAATTCATTCATTGTAAATGAGAGAGGAGAGGAAGTATTGCAATAATATTGACTCGACTGGACGTAGCCCATATTGGGTGAACCAGGATAAATCGCGCGTGTCATTTTCTCTATGTTTATTGTCTGTGATTTGTTTTATTGTTATTTTGTTCTCGTTGCTGTCTCTATTTCGTTCACCCTTGAGATGTATGTTATCATAGAATCCATTCAAGAAAAAACACCATGACTAGATAGCTAAGACTTCATGGCCAGAAACAGTTTTGTTATGCCTAAAAAATTAGGGCTGACGTTAGCCTACGTCAGTGAGTACCAATCAGATTTCAGGAAGGCTTTGCGTCGCCTAGGAGCTGCCACGTCGCTCCATGACAGAAAGAATATGGTTGTCATTAACTTGGCAGATTCAGGTTTTGTCTATGAGTGATTGAGGGAAGCACACCTGTCCCAACCCTAGGTAATTTGAGGATATTTCCTAAGTTATCAGCCAATGGGAGGCAAGGAAGGACTTGCACGACACCTACCCACTTGTAGATTTGTGATCATTACCTTGAATTCCTCTACTATAAATAGAGGGCTCCCCCTCTCATTTTCGAGATTTTGATACTAAACCTGCTATCTAATTGTAATCTCTATTTTTAAAGCAAAGATAACCTACAAGAAAGAGACCGACTTGATATTCTCTCTGAATACTCAGTTATTGTACCTCTGCTCGCTATTCGTTATACGCGACCTCTTATAATCTCTCATATATAAAAGAAGCAGTGGACGTAGGATTTGCTTTAAGCATCTAAACCACTTTAAAAATGATATATCTCATTTATTGTTTAGTCTTTGTATCTGATTATAATCATTCACATGTAATTTCTAAGAACAGCTTAACACTTTGCACGTGCGAGTCGTTGGTGTCAAAATCAAGCATTAATAGTTTGGTGCTAGAAGGAGGGCATATTTTATATTTTCTCTTCATTCATAACCTCTGATCAATCAGTTCTACTTGTGAACAAATGGCTTATGGCCTTGAAACTGAGTGAACTAGCACCAACAATGAGGAAATCCCCCGAGTACAGATGTTACTTCCCTTGAAGTACCTTTAACTCCCCAAGGTGCTGCGGCAGATATTCCCTCGACCTCTCAGCTCGATCTAGCTCTGATGAGTTACTTGGAGAGGTTCAATAATACTCTCCAAATGGATAGCCGAAGGCTAGATCGTTTGGAGTAGTTCATGCTGCCCAACTCTGATAAGGTGGTACCACTTCCAAAAACACTTGTAGGTCACTCTAAAGCGTGGAAACGGGCAAAAACTCATACTATGCACTACAGTGCACAAAAATAAGGGAAAGCAAGGGCTGTCGATGGGCCAAAAAGTTCAAAAAGGCCAGTGAATATTGGTCATGAAACAGGTAGAATACCTATAGCTTTACGACTTGGTGGTATGTCACATCAAGAGTTGTCTCATGCCACATCTCATGAGCACCCCTATAAGAGTGCGTGGCATGGACATTCCCACTATCGCTAGAATGATGGTTTAGACCATCACCACGAGGGAAATACCCATCGGACGCGGGTGGATTCTGACCATCGCAGAGGTTGGGATAACTCCCCTAGCCACTCAGTGCCTTTACATGGCTCCAGCTAGCATGTTTCAAGGTACGCCAAAGGCTTCGGTCGAGGCGAGGAAGAGTCTGATTTACGGTTTTTCCTTAATCGCAATCGTGGGGAGCAAACCCACATTGCTAAAAGTGATCCTCAGGTGACTTTGCTTCCTCAGATTGAGGAGTTACAACGAGCTCTAGATAAGCTTAAAGCTCATCAGAATGAGTGAGGCCATGTCGTTGAGGCGTCTCCCTTTTCTCCAGCAATCTTGACTACTCCTTTCTCGTCGAGATTTAGAATGCCCGACATGCGAGCATTCGATGAGAATTCTAATTCGCAAGATCATCTCTCTAAGTTTAACGACCTTATGAAGCTTCAACAAGTTTCAAACTTGGCGAAATGTCGCTGCTTAGTAGTGACTCTAACTACCCATGTTAAGCTTTGGTTTAGATCGCTTTTGCTAGGATCTATCAACTCATGGCAGTAAATAAGTTCATTATTTTTGAGACACTTCTAGGCTAATAGGAAGTTCTCAACGTCGTTGAGCTATCTAAGCAACATACGGTATGAGAGGAATGATTCCCTTCAATCTTATATTGACAGGTTCCACAAGGAGCTTCATAAGGTGGCTAATACAACAGAAGATTCGGTTCGAACTCTTATTATTATGGGAGTCCCTTTTTATCAGGTCTTCAATGGCATTGTTCAAATCTTGGCACTTGTTTGTGTTGTGCCCAACATCTCGGTGGTATCGACAATACTTTTGTCGATCTCTTCTACCTGAAGCCCCCCTTATTCTTTCTGGAGTGGGTAGTCTCTTCGCCTCATGGGAGACTTCGTAGATGCGGGCAATGTCTTGAGTGAAAGGGTTGTATTCTGTATACTGGGAAAGGGCCGCTTGTCTCTATGGTTATCTATTTTTTGTCTTTTCTAAAACCTATTGCAGTCCTTGTCACTGCGGTCTTGTCCCCCACGCTTATCCAATAGGCGATCTTATCGCTTGTCCGGGGTCTCTCGCATCGAACTTCTGGCCAATGTCTCCAGTGAGCTTTCTACATGTTGGTGTTTTGCGACCATCTAATAGAACTTGGCCAAGCTTACATGATCTTCACTTTAGAGCTCTTTCCACAACTTTATATTCAGCCTGATCCCTGTAATCAACAAAGTTCGAATGGACTCCTCAGGTGCATCTACAACCTTTGCTTGTTCGTTTTGGAATCTCGTCAAGTACGAGGTTAATGTTTCATCCCTCTCTTAACGAATGTTGGTCAAATAGCTAAGCAGTATTGTGAACTACCTCCTTGCTTAAAATTGCTATAAATATAGCGAGGAGAATTGTTACCAGGGGTTGATGGAGTTTGCCTTATGCCTCTTATACCACCTCTTGGCATCCCCTACTAGTGTGACTGTGAAACACCTACACTTCGCCAAATCAAAGACCTATTGCAGCCCTATCAGATCGTTGAAATTATCGAGGTGATCTCTTGGGTCCCCTCTCCCGTCAAACTTAGTTTTTGGCACCCTGAATCTTTGCGGAAGTGGGGCCTGTTGAACTTTCTCTGTAAATGGGGAATTTACTATTTCCTCTACTATGCCATTCTGGTAGGCTTTCAAAACGTCGAGTATTCTCTGCACATAATCTAAGTCTTCATTGTGGTTGCCTTGCCTGGCTTTGTTCAACCTCACTTCGAGCAAATGAGTTCGCAAATCTGTCGCTTGCAAAGCTGCATTATTGTGTGTGAAGTTGGGTCATGATGGCTAAGCAGATAAGTGTTATCATGCTCGTCGGTTCGTTGCTCGCAATGTCAGTTACAATTAGAACGTTGGTCATTGCTAGATTGGCGCACATGGCTCGTCTCGTGAGTTGGCAGGGATCAATCTTGTCTTGGGCATGGGTTAATATCGGCACGATGACGCTGGGGATATCATCGAGCGTCTCAGGGATGACCATTGTCTTCACTCTACCCCAATGGTTGTTTCCCTGGCCACCTCGCGGGGTTAGTTTGCCCTTGTGACTAGCGCTCATGAGCGGAGTGCAACTTGCGATGTCGGGGGTGCTAGCTGCCTCTTGGCGTCGATGAACCAAACTGGCCACTTATAGAATTCATACCTGTAGAGGTGGTGCTAGTGAAGTGCGGCTGGTTAAGATTCTGGACAAGTGGTTGTTGATTCCTCAACTCAACCACATCTTGTTGCATCGCCTATGCAACCATCATTTTGATCATTTCCACCAGCTAGCCGTTTTCAGGGTTTGACGTCCCTGCCCTTTGGTTATTCACAACATGTTGAGTTGGCGACATGGGTGGTCGACGTCTAACGACGTCCTGTTGTACCTCTTGATAGGTGGTTTCCACTTTCTTAAGGTTTTAGGTGGTGGTCTTTGATTTGGTGTGCACCATTGTGGGCTTGGATTGGGTAGATTGTCGCGACTGTTCGTAGGAATTGCCGTGATGTTGGTGGTAACTTCCTTCTAGCGCCAAAATGTTGACATAGAAATTTGCACCAACTAGAGAATTCTGATCAACCTTAATGGGACCAAAATGGTGCGTGTGATTACGGGTGATCAGTGATAGACAAATATTGAGTGCAATAAAATAAATGACAATAAGAATTTTTAAAGTGGTTCGGCGAGGTAAACTCTTTAGCCTACGTCCACTATTTTTGCATTTGTTGTGAGAGCTTACAGTGAGAATTTTGTGTGAAAATCGTAACCCCTTTTTCATCATTTGAGAAGGTTTATATACAAGGTTTCATCATTTGTTGTGGTATTACTATGGATGAAATTAAAGCATATTATATTAATTTTCCATTTCAATTCCCTCACTGACAACTTAACTAAACTATAAAATAAAATGGATAATTTTTGAGAGCTTTTACAATAGGTTTTCCCAGTTATTCAAACATCTTTAGCCAATTGATCATCCCATTGAGGCTAATCCAAGAATGGCTTGATTTCTTCTTTCCC